GCTTTTGGCAGAGATGCTGCTCAAAGCTCAAGCACTGGCCTGCACCCCAGCACAGCTGTGAGCCTCAACCCTTCCCATGTGCCTTCTTGTCCTTTATCAGAAATTTGGTCCTTGGCAGACTGCAGGTCAGCAGATCTGCAGGAGGCAGTTTTTGGGGCTGGTATATTTGTGCATACCTTCGTTGAGTGCTGGAAAAACTGACCTTATTGTAGCCTGGTACCTCTGGCTGCCAGAGCAGCCTCCCCTGCTCCAGAGTAAACCTAGCTAAAGTGAAAGGGTCAAGCTGCTAGAAAGGGCTCAGGGATAAGTGACAGAGAATATGGTTCGGGATTGCTGCACCAGCCAGCTGTCCTCGGGGGGGTTCGAGTGCGCCAAGGCTCGTGCTTTGGTGTAGTAAGCATGCTGTTTCTTTAACAGCATAAAAGCACAATGTGAATGACTGGCTTCCTGCAGATTTTTGTTGTTGTTTGCTTAGCTATGTGGAAATGTATTTGATTAGAAGACAGAGAGAGAGGTTAAAAATAGGACATTAATATGATATTATTTGTTTTATCAAATAAAATGCTTAGAAAATGTTTATCTTGTCTCATGAGAACAACAAAAATAGAGGCCAGCACTTCTCTGCAGCTCTCTTTAATGAGCTAAATTGGGCTGCATTCTCGATGCCTCTAGAAGTTTTGGGGTGAAATGAAGGAAGTTCTGAGCAGAATTCCTTGTAACCACAAGCACTGGGTGTGCCTGAATGTAGAGCCAAAAGCATCCTTTAATTGTGCTGTTTTTTCTTCTCTTATTTTTAATGGAAGACATTCCCATTTGAGAACCTTAGAAGCTGACATTAAGGGCTGGATTCTGCCACCCATATTGACACCAGTGTGTATCCAACTCTCCTGGTAACGCTGTGACAGCCAAGGGGGCTGTTTGTGCAGTGGAGCAAGACCTGTGATGTGCAGGGGAGGCAGGATCAAAACCACGGGCATATTATGGGTCTGAGGAAGGGTGTGTTATTTCTTAGATTTTCAGAATACGTTCACAGAAGTTGTATTTACTTGTAATGCAGTGAGTCAGATACTGGGGATGAGTGGGAGAAAAGGTGGTGAGATAGTGTCTCCTTCACTTTTCATTCTTCATGCCAATAAATGTAGCTATAGATGAAAATTCACTGTGAATGGCTGTAGCGCCAAGAACTTCTGTATGTTAGCATTTCTTAAATGAAATAATTCTCCTGGAAAGCTCTGTGTAACATACACAGACCCCAAAGAAATAAATAAAAGAAAATAAAAAAATTGTAACCAAAAAACCCCAAGTTGAGATTTTTAACAGTAAAAGGAGATTTTGTGTATTAATAATTCATGAGTTCTCATTGAACATGCACGAAGAAACGGTGCTATTCAATAGAGAATACTGTCATCTGTCACTGTTTTATTTGACATTTACACTTTTTTTTTTTTTTTTTTTGCCTGGTACTGCAAAACTTTCTTGGATGGCGTGCTAAGATTATTTAAATAAATAATTAAAAAAAGCCCATGCAGACTTTTCATCTGTGCATGGGGAAGGCGGTTACTTGCAATCATAAGGAACGTGCGAGTAAGCTGCGGCGCTGTGTTTTCTCACGTATTAGTCAAAGCTACTGCCTAATAAACAGCCCTATGGATGGATAGATAGGGTCTTGAATGAGTGCCCGAATAAAGGAAGGGAAGGGTAGAAAAAGAGCAATGAAAGGCCAGATTTGATGCAGATAAGTGTACGCATGCACGCAGCGGGTACGCGTGTGTATGTGCGGGGGTGAGCGAATAATGGCTGTTGTGAAGAAAGCTGCCACAAATACATCGCCGCCGCTGGTGCAAAAATAAATATTTATAAATGGGTGTTGGGGGAGATCCAGTCCCACACAACGTGAGAGAAGACAGGGCATTTAGCACAATGACAATTCAGTTAGGTGCACCTTGCAATTTCTTGCTAATATTAGGCTCATGGAAATCTTTCTGCTCTGTAGGTTAGTTATTGTTTATAAAAATCACAGAACCAGCTGATACATTCATAAGCTAATTATTGTAGCAGCTGGGTACACATGGTGCAATATGTCTGAGGCTGTGAAGTATCACAGATTTCTTGGGGCCTGCTGTGGTGGGGGTGTGCTGTTGAAGGCTAGATCCCTTAATCTGATCAGCCAAGCAAATACTTTGTGGGGAAACTGGATTAATATCTCTCTAAATACCACGGATGTGCTTCACCTTCAGAACCAGGCTCCTTTAAACGTGCCATTAGCTTATCTCCTTTGGGGAATGGAGAAGTTCTCAGGTGTCCTCAGGATGGCGGGGTCTTTGCCTGGTGCCTCCCTTTGCCAGAAATTAATTTGGTTTGCTCATGTCTGCACACATGGTCACACTGCGGTCTAATCTTTTCCCTAATAGCTCCAAGGTCAGGACCTCAAATGTTGCCAGGCAAATTGAGCGCTATCCTTCTTAAAGACTAATGGCAGAGAGTGCCTAGTCCATAATGAGGCCTGTAGTGTTGCTCTAAGTGATTGTAATGAGTGCTGATTATAACGGGACAGATAAATCAAAGTGCAGCAGTTGCCATCGGGCTACCCGGTCCAGCCCTCGGGAAGGGGAGGTGGCCCTGCTGAGCCGTCCCTGGGCTCTGCCAGAGCCAGGCACTGTGCAGTGCCTTGCAGCCCTCGGGGAGCCCCAGGAGTTGTCCTTCCCCAGGGCCTGCCTGGCATGGGCTCCTGCTCCACCAGGTGCAGGGTTTTGTGTGTATTTTCTGTTACACAATGGGTCTTCATGCTGCAGCATCCCCCAGGAGATGTTAAACATACCTGCTTGAGATATTTGAAAGAATTCAGTTGGAGACTTATTCAGCTCACTGAAAACAGGGAGAAACGGGAGCTTATTTTTTTCCACAGATGGTTTATTTTCCATTTCAACAATTATTTCCTTTGTATGGAGGAACCCCTGAGAAACCACTGTGGAGTTGGGAGATTTTGTTCCCGTCTTTTCTCTAAAAGAGAGAAAGTTTTTGATGGATTTTTGAGCAGTGGAAGGGGACAGAGAAGAACTGAGGGTAGGGGTTATGGTCATACCACATTAAAATGCAGACTTCACCTGGCCAAAAGATTGCCCAAATACCAATCAAAACACTTTGAAAATATAATACAGGTTTTCTTTCCCTAAGTAAATGACTAGATATCTTGTTTTCATCCTTGCCCCCCCCCGGCCCTCCTAGTTTATTGCAAGAAAAGATCAGGTCTGCACAAATGTGGCCTCTCACTTGTAAAAACAAGGCAGTGTTGTGTTACAGATTAGTTTATAAATCCCTGGTGGCTTCACAGTTCAGTGCCTACAGCTGCTGCAGATGGGCCTGGGTTTTTGTCTCTTCGCTGTGCTGCAGCCGGCAGTTGAAGGAGAAAATGGAATGATCAGGTTATTAACATGTAGGCCGTGAGGAAGAGGCTGCACAATGAGAACAGCTGGTGTTGCTGTCTTGGCTGATGCAGCGGAGATAATCAAATCTTGCCTTTTTTGGGGGGGTGAAGGCAGAAGACACAGTGGAGAGTAAGACAAACAAGGGCTTATGATATTATACACGGGGTTTAGAGTGCACGGTAGAAGTTTTCAATGGCTTACAAGTTGTTACACAAAAAAGCAATACCAAAAAGCCCCCCCATGGGCTGGTAATGAACCTGGCTGTTCAGCTTGCTCCGGTCGCTGTTCAGAAAAACACAGTTTTGGCTACTTCCTGTACCAAACATTTTTAACATTGATCAAGCTATCTTGTAGGTACTGTAAGGTGCCTGTCAAAATGGTGTCAATATGCTGAGCTGTAGCTCGAAAATGATGGGTTATAAAGCTACTAGGTAAAATATTTTGACAGGAGTCAGTAAGGCGCGTTGACAGCATCCTCAGCATTATCTTCTCATCTTCTGTCGTTTGCATCACATCTCCTGCACAGGCACAGGAGGGGAGTCACTGTCTCCAGCCCCAAGTGGGCTGGCTGCTGGCAGGCAGGACAGGCTGGCTGTGCCCCCACTCTGGGCAGGTGCAGCAGCAGCCACCAGCCCTGGGTAAGCTTCTGGAGACACCGGGTCACCACTGCTCTCACCTGAACAGCTCTTGCCATTGGGCTGTCTCCTTGCCTTTGGCATTCAGGGTGGTTTCTTCTTCCTGGAGCACTAGCGCTTTCCCCTCAGGGGTCTGAGCAGTCAGTCCCTGTGGAGAGGTCCTACAGCTCCTTATACACAGCAGGAACATTTTAAGGGCATTTCAAACTAACCTTAAAACAATTGAGCAGGATTAAAATCTACTATTATGATGATCTGTAGTTGGGTTTAGAATTACCTCTGCCTAGTATCTTCATTTCTCTAGTAACTTCTGCAGGACTCTGCTGCTTTTGTGCTAAATACCAGAGGATTCCCTTTCTGTGAGGCTATGTCTTCTCTAAGATTTGATTATTTAAAGCTTTCAAATTTCAGTGGGGTTCAGAGCTGGGGTAGGCAAGGCAACAGAGTGACAGCAAATCAGAAGTCTTTACTTGATAGTATCTTCTACTAAACATTTTCTGTAGTGGTTGAATTTCTGGTTCTGCAGCTGCAGGTTGCATTGAGGGCTGTTAGCAAGTCTCAGGAGATATATCTCCTTTTCTCTTGCTTAAATGAAGGAATAAAGGGGCTCTGAAACCAAATGTTTCAACTCTGGTTTCTATGGGAAAAATATTTCTATCCGAGCATTTTAAACATGGTGTGAATACAATCGGCACAAGATGCTGTGCTGCCTGGCTCCTGCTAAGCACTGCTACTTGTTTCAGTTTCTCCAACCTGCAGGAAATAGAATATGTCAAGGATTTGTCAAAACCAAAGGGCGGCTGAGGACTGGGGGGGATTCTGTGTGTGAGATGAGACCAGTAAAACTTGCACCACAGAGTGGTAGAATGTAGCTGACCTTCCACTCACACCTGGTTCGTTGGTGTTCAGTGAATTGACTGCGCTGACCCTACCATTGCAGGGCTGGCTGTGTGAGCTGCTTCGCTGGAAAGAAAACCCAAGTCCGGAAAACCGCACCCTTTGGGAGAACCTCTGCACCATTCGCCGCTTCCTGAACCTCCCCCAACACGAGAGGGATGTGATCTATGAGGAAGAATCCAGACATCACCACAGCGAGCGTATGCAGCATGTTGTCCAGCTCACTCCTGAGCCCGTGCAGGTCAGAGCAACAACTGCCTCCTCAGGGTGTCTGTGTGGGAGGTAACACAGGGGGTTTGAAGAGTGTAACACGGAGAAGTGCTTTTTATGTATTGACTGAAACTTAAAAGTACTTCCAAAATGACCATGGTGAGCATTTCACAGCCTCCTTAGGATCGTTGTGCTCCTCTATACAATATTTGTGACTGGTATGAATTTTTGTTTTGTACACCCTTGTCCTATCTTTGTCTCAGGTGTTAATAGAATGAGAAATAAATAGATACAAGTATGCATAGAGAAAATAAAATGAAAATACTGCAAGACTTCTCATCTTTGCAGTTCCAGCTTCAGTCAGAAGAGAAAATCAGTCTTATGTGTATTCCTAATAACTAGTAACACATGCTACAAAACCAAACATCTGCAGATGGTCAAGGGAGGCTCAGGAGATGGTTTTTTTCAGTCTAAAAAGCTGAGGTGACCTCCCACATCAGACCTTCCACTTTGAATTGCCACTGATGCTTGGTCCCATTCACCTGATCCCATTGTGTGACCACTCTGAGTATCATCCGTACTGCTCTTCTCTGATCATCTCAGTTCCTCCTCCCACCTTCACTCTCCTCAATGTTGTTTGATGGTGGATTGCACTGCTTCACTACTCTTGCTGTGAACCTTGGCATTGAGCCTCTATTCTTTGTTGATGCTCATGTGCTGCTGCTGCTATCACTGCTGCCAGCCATCTAGTCACCTCTTTTTCAAGGCAAGAGGTTTTTCTGTACTGTTGTCCTGCCCCACCTGAAACATGTAGGTCTCACTCAGATTAATTATTGCCTAGTTAGTGCTTTGTCTCTTCTGCTAACAACTTCCTCCTTGCTTTCCTTTTGGTCTTTGCCTGGAAGAAAAAAATCTGTGTCCTGGGGTTTGGATTCTCAGAGCTATAAAGTAGGGGAAGCGTTCTAAATAATTAACATTGCAAAATGTTTGGGGGATCTTGGAGGTAAGGAGCTACAAAAGGGTAAAGAGCCGAACTAAGGTGGGAAATCAACTAGACCTGCATAGATTTCAACATATTAGCCCAGTTCTGATGCTCACAGCAAGTGGGAATATCCTCTAAGGGAAGTTAGAAGAAAAAGTTTCCCTGGGCTCTCGTGGGTGACCTTGATGATTAGCCTACTTTCTAAAACCTTCTGCACATCACTTTTCTGCATAGAGCAGGTCAGCTCTTGTGAGTGACATGTTACACTGTGTTGGAATGCTGTGCATTTGTATTTGTCAGCAAGTTACAAAGCCATGGATTAATTTTTTATTACAGTCAAAATATGAAAAATGAAGAAAAATAAATGGAACCAGCTGGCAACTACATACAACAAAACTCTGGAGACCCTGGTAGGCAGTTGATACAGTAGGCTTGTGTTTTGGGGGTGCTGCATTTTAAAGCTATGCTTGCCCATCCAAAAACCCCAGTAGGTTTCTGAGTGACACACTAGCAGTGCCAGGCACAGGAGGCTTGCTGCCCACCTGCTCCCTACTCAAAAGATACCCAGCACCAAGCAATTTTTTTGTGTAGTTTTCGGTCTCTGGGACTTGAATTGTTTCAAGCAGCAAGGTTTGTTTTTTTGGCTTTGCTGCAAGGGTCACTATTAGGTAATTAGCCATGAAGAATCAATGACAGCGGCCAGAGATGTAAAGCTGAGGTCCTCACACTTGCAGTCACAGGAGATTTTGTGACACTTTACATAAGGGTAGGGGTCTCAGGCCCCGCTCCTGGCCGAAGTCCAGGCCGAGTAATTACATTCTGCCTATCTGAAATTCCCCCTGTAGAGTCAAGTGGGAAAGCAACCCTCATTTCCTTCTCAAAGCAGTGGCGGGTGCAGAATGTCTGCCTCAGTGCCTGGCTACACTCTAGCAGCAGGTGGAAACATCCAAGAGCTGCAGTCACCGACCTACTTTGCTTTGCAGGCTTTGCTAGTGAAAAGTGTGCTGTAAGTTGAGCCCTTACCTGCAACCTTGATGTCAAAACAACAGTCCTTTGAAGAAGAGACAACAGCAGCACTGTGAATAACAGCAGGTGCAGTACTGTAGCACCGAAGCAGGCAGGATGCTCTTACCTCTGCTCTCTCTCTGTCCACCCCATCTTTCTGTTTGCTCTGATGGATTTGACGTGCATACAGTAACTTCTGTCTGGTGCTTGAGCCTCCTGCTCCTGCAGCTGTGAGACTGGGAAAGCCTGAGAACGAGCTGCCCCACACTGCTGCCAGAGCTCCCTGCCACTGTGAGTCCTCTCTGGGCTCAGACATTCTGGGCGTGTCCCTCTGTCAGACTTGGAAGAAGATCCTGGCTATCATCACAAGAGACATGACTAGGCAAAAGATAATGGATAAATTTTAGTCTTTTCCTTGGTATGGCTTCACCATTTGGAAATGGTGAAGATTTCATTGCGATGGGTTTTGTGTAGTTCACTTGCTGATTACAGGGTTAAGGACAGTTCAGTGAGGGAATCACCCCAAGGCCCGGTATGGTTTCTGTCCTCTAAAGGCGGGGTGTGCACAGTGGGGCAGTTGTTGTAGTGCTCTAGAAAATCAGCTGCATGCAAGTTGGCTCTTGATGTTTAAGGGATAGTTGTTTCTTGTGTGAGAGGTTCTTGCCCTCTGTTTGGTATTACTAGCCTGCACCTCACTGTTTAGCTTTAAGTTCAGGGTTTTAAAAAAGAAACATTTTTATTTTTTCTCTCTTCCATTAGATTTTTTCCCATCAGCCATATATTAATCCATTTAATCAATTATTTTCCTGTTTCTAAAATGCAAAACGTCTACAATGGAAGCTTAGTGCACAAGAAATTCCTCCCTGCACACTTGATTTATTTGTTATTGTGCTGAGGAGTCATAAAATGTGAGCCCTGTGGAGCTCTGTGACATGGCTGTGTTCTCTGGCAGCACTGGGTGGGACCATATGGATGTGTCAGAGTGTGGATTTTCCTTCACATGCTGGTTGCAGAGCATTCATGCTACACCTATACATGTTGCTGTGCATGCAGGCTGAGCTCACCACAGTCTCTCACTTGGTCTTTAAGGACATTCAGGTGTGCTGAGTGGCTCTCCCTCCGTTTCAATGCGGTGTAACTGCAAAGTGCTGCGGTAGGACCAAGGAGAAGACCTGTGAGGTTGTGCTAGCTGGGCTACCACAAGGACACCACCTCTCATTTATGGAGTGCCTGAGCCACAATTTCCTGGAGGGTGGGAGGGCATGCTGGAAAGCATGACTGTATTTTTGCCCTGTTCTTATCCTCTTCCCTCACCACTAGGTGTGGGATCCTGGCTGGACCTTTGATCTGGCTTGGCCTGGCTTATAACTCTGTGCAAAGTACTCTCTTTGCAGCAAGCAGTCCTCATGCTTCTGTGTTTAGCTCCCTGCTCTGCAGAGGTGAGGGTACCCTGTCTTACTTTCTATCCCTTGCTAAATCCCACCGATCCTGGGCTGTTTGCTGGCATTGGACCTTTCTGGGGTGTTAATGCTGACAAGTGCCTACAGCTGCTTCCCGTTGCCAGCCAGGGATTCCGTGTTTGTTACAGACATGCTGGGACACAGTAAATCTAATTTCTCTCCTTCTCCCACTATTCGTCTGCTGTGTCCAAGGTGACCACTCCAGAGAGTAACCATCTTGCCTGGCACTTTAATGTAGTGCTAATTCATTGTTAATTGCTGGGGCAGAGAAACCTGACTCCGTTGGGAAGAGTATGAATCAGACAGTTGTCTCTGGAGTGTCGGGGTGTATTAGCCCGTTCTTTGGAGTAATGAGCCACCACTGCAGCGAAGTACCTACTTTTCAGAGAACAGGGAAACCTCACCTTTCATTTCCTGCATGAGTTGACAGATAGGTCTGCTGAAGCTGGTAGCTACATATTGTTTTAAGATCAATCAAATGTTGCTTTCTGATACACTGCTACTTTTGTCACTTTTTTAAAATAACATCCCTCCACCCACCCTTTTTTTTTTGTCAGAAGCTTTGATTTAGACAAATCTGACAATTTATAATAGTTCAGATCATAAATCATGGGGGAACATTAGTAAATAAAAGAAGGCATAGTAGAAAGCTCTAGGAAAGCTCTTTTGTATTGGAGTTCACTGCAAACATTGTGGTCTCTCTTTAAATATGCAGAAAATAACATACCACAGAAGTAAATTAAATACTAATTTTGTCATTTTGTGAGAGATGGAAGGAAACAAGTATTTTAGAAATGACAATGAAATACAAAAGAGCAGAACATGGAACCCTCATAAAAATGGGTCAAGGCAAGTGGCGATGGCAGTCCAATGAAACTAATTTCATATTCTCTTTCTAGAAGTAATAAAAGGGGAATGAACACCACAGTAGTGCTTTCTAATGAAATATCTGATTCTAAACAATGTCTTGGAGTTCATGGGTCACACAATGCATAGCATGCAGATGGAAAAAACAGTGACTTAAATTTTCTTTTCTTAAAAAATAATATTAATTAATAATATTTAGGAAATCATAGATAATGAGTGAAGCAAAACTGTGTTATTCCATAGGGGTACACGATGTGCTTAATGATCTATAGGATGATGTGCAGAGTGAGGTTTTGCCATGTTTGTGTGAGTTACAGCTGAGGATTTTGCATACTGGAAATTAGGACTGAGTTGTCTGTGAGACTGGGCAAAAATTACTTTCCCAAACTATGCTAGCTCTCTGATGGTGGTGCTTACTGTTTTATTGAGGCAATTTTTTGTGGGGATGGTGTGCCCTGTGATTCATTCTTAATGGCTACACCCTGATAGTTTTGCTTTTTGATCATTTCTCTGCACCCAACAGACAGATTATAGATGGATATCCACTTCTTTTTGACTTTCTGAGCTCCTTAATCTGTGGCTGAGTGTGGTGTCTGCTCAAACAGGGACGGTCAAGACTGGTGAGACAATTTGTACTCAGCAAACCCAGATGGACTTTAAGAGAGATTTGTATTGCAGATTTATTCATTCCACTCAAAATCTCAGTGCTTTGGTTTG